CGGGGTTACGCGGGGCGGGGGGGTGCCTGAACCCCTACTTCTCTGCGGTAGTTGAGCAGATAAAGCCAAGGCATCTCGGTACCATTTGGTACTGCTTGGAAGTACAGGGTTCTGCCTAACGTCAGTAAGAGCTGTTTCTCAGCTCTCAGGTGACTGCTCATAAGACCTTTCTCCTGCCAAAAGCTGTCTGGTGGAGTGAAGAGCTCGTTTAGGAGCGGTAGTCTAACATTTCTACTGCAAAACATTAAAAGGTGTGGTGTTTGTGACTTTAATTGTTAAGGAGTGTTTTTCTTTCAAGCTACAGTGGATATTGACAAAGGTTTGTCCTTAACTAGGCTAAGTAGGGCCAGCTTCCTGCAGCTGTTGGTACTTAACTGCCTAATTTTTATGAAAGCTAAACTTTTTTTCCCCTTCAGCATAATACAGTTTAATACTTGATCAGTGATACAGCACCAGTGAGTTCTTTTTATTATTATTATTTTCTGATTTTGCTCTTGGTAAGAGTTACTCTTGACTTCCCTTAAAAACCTGGTTCTGCTGACTTCTTGTAGTTGCAGCCTAAGTTGTACATCAGCTAGAAAACATGCGAGCCTGAACAATTTGTTGAATTTGCAGTCTTCAGGTGGGACTCTTGCAGACACTTCAGAAAGATCCCAGTTCATTCACCAGCAAGTGGATAGGAATTCATCCGTCAGGCTGCATGCACTTGCACACACTGTGCTTTCCTGGTGCTACTCGGAAAACTGAGCACTCTGCTCCTCCCCTACCTGCACCTCAACTGTTGACCAGCAGGATGGACCCCATCCAGCCTGCCACGCTTTCCTGAGAAGGCTGGAAATAGCTGTCAGGGCATTGAGTGAGCCTGAAGAATTAAGGTGCTGCCCGTTGTGCCGGAAAGAGTTTGAAGTGTACTAAAATACAGTGTTTCTCTTAAAAGTGGTGGCCCTCTGTGATCAGTTGCCTGTTTGGGCATAAAACCCAACTCTCTGTATAAAACCCAAGCAGCACACTTGGACTTGCTACTGCAAAAACTTAAGCAGGTGATGTTTCAGTCAGGTGAGGAGTCTGGACAAAGTCAGCATGCTTAACTTGGTGCAGGTCAAGTTTTGTTGTTAGATTTTTCCTCCCAAGTAAATCTACTTGTGGTTTTGGTCACTCTTCTTTTGAAATACCAATTGTGATTTCAAGGCAGGATATTTTTATTCCTAAAGAAGGTGAAAGATGAACTAGTAGAAGGTTCTACTAGTTTTTCTAGATCTCTGGGCTCTTATGCTCTGTTTCTCCAGGATGTGCAGCATGCTCTGCTGCTGTCTCTGAGAAACTTTTGAATTGGCTTCCCTTTAAAAGTGCAGAGGTCCAGTTGGCTGGCACACACTTTCCCTAAGAGAGCTCCAGAGTCTTCCTACACCTTCCCCCTTTTCAGCCTGGAGGTCTAATTGTGATGCATAAGTTTTGTTGCACTTATGATAACTTTAACAAATTACTTTCCTTCCTTTTATTCCACATGGGTTTGTCTTAGTAAATATTGATGGCATGGTTCAGGTTGACTACTTGAAAACATTTTGGGGTTTTTTTTGTAAAGTCTTTTTGAAAAGAGGCTGTGCTGTACTTTATCTCATTTTTCAAAGTCAGACTCTGCTGTCTTCTGTTGGTATCTAATACAATAATGTTTTTGAACATTCCATAGAGTCATTGTGACTTAATTTGTTTTGTTTTTGTTTTTTTTTCTCTTTCAGTGGAGAAATAAGATATAACAAAGACAAAATACTGCAAGGTTAGTACCAGTTATTCTGCTAGCTTGTTAGAGATGGAAAATTATTCTTCCCTGCAAAATGTGGAATCCTGTAACCAACTGCTGGAATGTTAAATATTATTATGGAACAATATTGTAAACCTTAAGGAACTTTACTTGTAAGCCAAGATGTTGGTAGGTTTACAGAACTATGAAGATTCTAAGTTGTTCTCCACAGAATATCAACAAATCGTGATGCATTTCTGGTATCAACAGGACTATTAGAATAGTTCCTTTTTTTTAAAATAGGAAAAAATTTTACCTGTTATCACATAAAGCAATAACAGCCCTTGCTACTAAGGGTACCAGGGTGTCCCATAGCACTGTGTTAAATCTCATCAGTATGAAGCCTGGGAGAGGACTTCTGGGGCTCAGATGAGAAGTGAGAGCTGCACCTCTGGTGAAGAACCAGCCAGGTGCACGTTTGTACAGTGAAGTTGGTAAGGAGCTGCAGAAGGATGGATAAAGGTAAAGGAGGCTCCTGCCCTAAGGAGGTAATCTGTGACTTACAAAAAACCCTATGGTACAGCAAGGAAGAATGGAAAGTAAAGATTGTTTACATGCTTGAATTGTTCATTCCCAGCACATTCTAGAAAGGCAGTCTTTAGAGAAAAAAAAATAAATTAAAACCAGACTTACCTGGGGTGACTGCTGACTTGTACACCCAGCACTGAAAACTCTGAGGTGCTTGGATGTCTGCTGGAGAAAAACTGAGGCTGCCCACTACAAGGAACCTAGTGGGGTTGTATTCTGGATAAATAAACTTTGTACAGTGCTGTGTGCAGTGTGGAAGAATCGTTCCACCAGATTTTCCTACCTCTGTTTTAACATTGCAATTTACAGTTCTTGCTACATGGCTTTGGGCTCATTAGTAAACTGAATGAAAAACATTCCCCTGCTTTATGTTCTTAAAAGTAATGATTATGTCTTTTAAATTCCTGGCCCTCTGTGTCATATGACACGTAGTTGGTTCCTCTGCCCTGCCCAGTGTAGGAAGTGTTAACGGTGGGGAATGGGGAGGAGCAGGCATTTCATATTTGCCAGAACCTGACTTTCCCAATTTTTCCATTCTGTGTATTTTAGTATTGACACCATTACCTCAAATGTATTGTCCTTTTTGTTATTTACAATCAACACATCTCTTCACGTGGAGTTTCAGTTCTGAGGTTCTTCTTGCAGGAAGCCTACCAGTGACCATTCTAAAAAGGACAAGTGATATGAAATTACTTTACATTTCTACATTTAGAAAATGTAGGCCTCTGGTTTATGTTTAAATGTGTCACATCTGCACATTAATATAAAGGTCAGTGCTAATTATCCTTCTGTCTTACTGGTCCGTACTCCCCTGTTTCATATAATTTGTGTGACTGAGTTTAGGGAAGACCAGAGGAACAATGGCTTTTGCTGGTGGTTGGCTCTGAAGGAGAAGCATGTTATGATGACTGAGCAGGTTCTTCATTGCTGCCATGCTTGCTCAGCTGCTAAATGATCTGAAATTTGCATGTCTAAATGTTGATGGGGTTTTATTTTGTAGGTCAAGGAGTGGATGAGCCGCTTTCTGCAACTGGCTTCAGACAAGCAGATGCTGCTGGCTTATTCCTCAGTAAAGTGAAGTTCACTCACGTCTTCTCAAGCGACCTCCTTCGAGCAAAGCAGGCAAGTGCTTCTTGAGGCTGTAAATACTAGCTTTGGAATTTTGCATCCACTTGCTGTTGATAATGCAAAAATAATACAGGGACAGAGAGCTAAAAGCTGTTTTGGTGGACTCAGAACCACAGTTTGAGTTGTGGAGGATTTGAGAAGGTCTCTATGGGTAAGGAAATGAGGAAGCAGTGAAGGCCAGCTTGCTTTGCAGGGTGTCTTGCAGTGCTGTTTGTACGGATTCGCCATTATTTTCTGCGTGTAGGTTCTTGCTGAAGGAGCAGTCAGGAATTAGAGCTAACACAGGCTGGAACAGTTTTTTCTTGGAAGGAACAAGAAAGATGGGCTGTGTTGTTGTGCTGTTGCAGCTGTACGAGGTTTTTCTGAGCAGTGCAGACCAGTATAGGCAGCACCAGAGTCACTACAAGGATCACAAGACATGCAGAGAGGTTGGATTTTGCCGGGAGTGTAATAGCACAGCTCCCACCTTGGTGCACTATTTGAATAGGTTAATAAAAGAGGGAAAAAAAATTAAAATAAATTACAGGGTTACAGGGTTGTAAAATATTTGAAAAATCAGGGAGATAGAATTCTTAAAGTAGAGGCATGGATGAGCTGTTCTGGGAAGGTCACATCTCCTGTGGAAGTTGTGTCCTCAGTTCTCTCTGCCATTACTGACGCTGTGACTTCTGGAGACATGCAGGCTTCACATGACTGAATCTGCTACACGATTCTGGATAACCCTCCTGGTTACTTGTCTTTTGCACTGTCCTGCCACTAAAGTTTGTGAAGCTTTGCTGTAAACCAGATCAAAAAAATCTAGCATAAATCCTTTTTTTTCTTTTTGTTAAAACTTATGTCATCAACATTGCTCATCAGTTTTGCAGCACAGCCCCATAAACTGCTGTAGCAGCTCAGCTTGGGCAGAAAACAAACCAGAGAGACAGGGAAGGAGGAGTGCATTAAATAGATATTTTTAAATGCATATAAACTGCCTGACAAGTCAGCTTCCTTTCAGTGTGTGAAGGGCAGTGATTTAATATATAAAACTATTAATAGTGCTTTATAATGTTCCTAAGACTGTGCTGTGTGCTTGCCTTAGGGGAATTGGTTTTGAATGTGCAGCATTCACTTGAGAGTGAAGTTGGTTATTTTTTTCCTCATGTTAGAGACAACTTGTTCTGTGAGAAGCATTTGCACTCTCAATGTAGAGGACAGACCTGAATTTGTCATTTGCATAAAGGAAATGTGTTTTGTCATGTTTGACATGTCAGCATGATTGCCTTTTGAGTGGCAGTTTACTCAAGAGAAGATGTGGCTTTTATCCTGGTAAATCCTGCAGCTCTCCTGCATCTTGTCCCCCACCTTTCATGCATGCAAAGTGTCTTCAACTGTTCTGCACTTTGAACTGTGAAAAAACTTTCAGAAAACTGCAGCTTTTCTGCCTTTTATGACCTGGCACAGGCCATATATGCAAGCCTGACTGACACCACTAGCTGAAAAACTTTTAATCTTCTTTGTTTGGGTTTTGGGTACCACTTGTGATTCACATTGGCTGTGGTGGTGTAATATGATCTAGCTGTCTCAAGAGAAAACAGCTCATTGATGTGACTGTATGTTCACTTTCTAGACTGCTGCCACAATTCTAGGAAAAAATAAGGTCTGCAAAGATTTGGAAATCAAATGTGATGCACGTCTTCGAGAGAGAGTAAGTGCCAAAAGGTGTTGTTTTAATACTGAACACTGAACAACTTGAAAATGTAACTTACTGCTGATGGGTATCTTGGCTTATTAAATGGTAGCTTTAACAGTGGAGAGCAGTATTTCACGTGTTTTTCATCACTGAAAACCCAACTCTTCTGCTCAGGTATTACTACTGATGGTTAGCAGACCTGTGAACCAAAGCCAGTATTCAGTGATCAGTGCTGTAACTGCGATGCTTTAATGATTTCAGTGAAGTAAGATTTACACGTAGAGGGAATTACATGTTCAGCTGTTTTCTGCTCCCATATGTGAAGTGTTAGATACTCCTTCTGCCTGATGGCACAGCTGAGCGTTGGCTTTTCAGCTGTTTATACCTTTTCATTTACACAGAGACTGCTGGGAAGCTTTCTGCTGCCCCTGGAGCACTCTGGTTTCCTGATCAGCCTCTCTGCCCGATAACGGGCGTAGCTGTACCCCCTGTCCCATTTTGAGTGTGTTTGCATCAGAACGAGGTCATATGCTGTCTGTTTCTGCTAATATGAATCAACTTTGGGATGCTACACCGAGAGTGTCAGCTGAATGTTAAATAAGGAAATGCCATCCCAGTTTGGTTTTGTAGCGTTTGGCCTGCAGGGAAATAAGTGTTCAAGGAGTGGAACACATTCGATTGTAGCATTTCCTGTTTGGATCTTCTTTTTCTGCCAGATATTCCAGTTCTTCCCCTGACACTAGCAAGTTAAATGCCTCCCACTCTTCTTTGGTTGCTGTGCCACCTGACATATTTGAAAAAATTAGAGCTCGTGATACAGAATTTTAGACAGAATAATCTTTAGTCTCTGTTATTTTTGTTTGTTTGCTTTTCCCCTTTCATGGTGTTTGTTTGGATGTATAAAAATGCTGGTACAGTGTCTGAGAGCCACAGGTTTTAAGTCAGTGCTCTGGGTGACTAGAATTAAGTTTGAATTACATGAAAAAAAAGTTAATTCCTTTAAAAGCACATATACTGTTGACCCTACTAAGAAAGTTTTATTTTGTCGTGCTTTGATTACATGAGAGAATTCTGGAGAAAATCTTGTAAGATGAGAATTGAATTTTCATCTTTTCCAGAGCATGTATTTCTTCATGTCATTCTTAGTGTTCTTAAATTGCCAATATTTTGCCTTAGAGAAAGAAAGGTGTCAAGAGGCTGAAGTAAATGTGTTTCAGTAAATCCTGAAGACTGTAATAAATTAGTTATTTATAGTTATTTATATACAGGGCAGCTAATTGCATACGCACAGCAAGTGGATAGTGACATGAGAGTCAGAAAAGCCTCAGTAATTCGTGTGTGTCCATATCCTAGTCATCAACATCTGTATTTCAGGATTGGGTGTAACTGAGTATTCAACAGTGTAGCATCAGCTTTGAGTTTCTCAAAATACTCGTCCTAACTGCAGCATTTTTCCTGTGTTTGGACATTCCAAGGAAAGACAAAGCTTTCCACTTGAATATACTTTTCCTGTTAGTGGTAGTGCAGTATGAATCTTTGGGTGGAGAAGTATTAATCAGTTTTACCAATGTTAGAGATCTTCAAGGTTACAAATGGTAATGGACATCCAAGTATATCTATCTTATAAAATATGTTACCTATTATAACTACTGTGTTTTATAATGAGACTTCTAGTGATCCAGAATAAGTGGCTGGTGTGTGTGGGTTCTTACTACTTCTTCCCATATGGGCCTTGTATTTGGAGGTCTCAGGAATAAGCACATTGTTGAAGATAGTTAATTGCATCTTCTCTGAGTCCCTGTTAGCATATGGTTTTAAGATCTTTTTTGCCTTTCTTGTTTTCTGGATACACTGTCCACAGCAGTAATGTATGTCCTGTGTGCCCTGAAAAAATGGGGGTAAAGCTGCCTTATTTATTTTGAATACGTAGATTTCAGAGGCCTGCAGAGAAATTGTTTCTTACTTATGAAAAATAATTCCCTGTAGTTCTACAAGTGAAAAGTAACCCGAGTTTATCCTGGTATGAACAGCTATATAAAGAGGTGCTTACAATGTGACCTCACTTACAAAGACACTTGAATTTTGTATGCTGAGAATGAGTGTCAG